CTCAAATAAATATGGAAGAGAAATTAACTGGGGTTTTAAATACTTTAATTAGTTTATAGAAAAATATACTAACGATGTTTTAAAGATTTCAATTTGTTAACAAAAATACATTGAATTTATGTATACATTTAAATTAATATCTCTCTACGAACAAATGAGTCTTTTGCAAAGCCCTTCAGATTTAAGGCCCGATTCTGTGTTTCCTTCCCTGCTCCCCCATTAGAATACAGAAGGCATCCTCCTTTCCCATGAAAAAAGTAGTGTTTCTTACTCAAAATCAGATTGATGGTCAATTAAGCTAAATGCCCTGGAGTGGGTAGAAGAAACTTTAAGTTAGCACAGCAGTACTGATCTTAATTTGGGGAGCCTTTGCAGATGCTTGTGTGCAGTATGCAATATACTGGGGAAATAATAACAAGCATGTCAAAAATGAGTGTTTTTCTTGGAACCATTCACCATGAGATCAGAACCTGGCTTAATATTTTGCAGTGAAACATGTTTTCTTTTAGTAACTCTAGAGTTTGAATATTGTTTACCAGAGCTTATTGCTTCGATGATGATCATTCACCCTTTAAATGTAAACCAATTTTCCACCTTTTTTAAAATCCTCTACGTAACTGATTATGTGACATTAGAATTTTCTCCTTCTCCATCTGTGTAGGTGAAGAGTTACCACAGCGTGATTCAGATGGTACTGAGGGACATCCCAGAATCACCTTGGTAAGCTGAGAAATGATATTTGCCAGTAAGATGTGTAGCCACATTTTAGCTATTACATTATTTACTGGGTTTCTTCATCTTTCTGGTGATGATGGATGGACATTTATAAAACATTTTATCCTCACAACCTATAGTGGTAAAAAGAGCATCTCTGTGAGCTTCACTCGTGTCTGAACACACACCTTAGCCCTAGCTAAGGCTGCACTTCTCTCTGAAAAAAGATAATACTGTCATTTTGTCTGTTAATTTCCCAGGCTTTCTGCTGAGACTTCCAGCAGGTTTTCCTGTTATTACTGTTTGTCGCAGCAGTCTATGACTTACATATTTGTTCATGAGCAGACTGGGACAACGAGAGTACTTTTAAAAACCACTGGAATTTTTCCAGTTTTCAATCGTCCCCAACCTGAGCAAGTTGCACACTGGCTGTCTGTAAAACTTTTGATGGTTTTCAGGCTTGATCTGGCAGTGAAAAGATGGAATTCAGTTTAAACACCGGTTTAAAATCCTTAATAATTCTACCATATTTCTTCCCAAAGTTTAATAAAAGAGGGGATGCTTCAGGGCAACCCAGAATGCAAAGCAGGGGATGCAAAAGCACTGGAAATAGAAGTTAAAGGATCAACAGAACCCTTTCTCCTTCTTCTGGAACCGTACGCCATTATCATCCCTGGAGAAAACTTTACTGGTGTAAACGTCAGAAAAAAATTCAAGGTTTGTTTGCTTTTGACTTCATTGTTATCATGTGCATCGTGTCACTAGATGACATAGGTGTTCTTAGAAGATATCAGACAATCCATGTTATTTTAGCTTTTCTTAAATCTTTTTAAAGGAGGCCATGAGTGCAGTCTGTACTAAAATGCCCTAGCAGGCCTCCTTAGCCCCACACCCCTGGGAGCTGGCTTTATTCTTTTTTAATCTCTCAAGTTAGATACCACAGAGCATTACCCCTGTCAATGTTTTTTTGGGTCACAGACCTGTTGCTTATCAGTTTGTCACTCCTGTAGTGTCAAAGTTTTCCAGTTGGGAGGAACAGCCAAGGGATGGTTTAATTACTTCATCACAGAAGCAGTTTATTCAAGCACAGAAGAGCTGCAGGATTCACATATGCTGCAGCTTACCAGACCTTACTGTTTCCTGCAGGTTCTGGTAGTTTCTGTTTGACCATTATGGAACAGAGCGCTGCTGTTATTGTCCACTCACTCAGCATCCTCTTCACTGCAGATCAGGATCCTTTTGATCTTAAACTCACATGGTAAAAATAGGCCTGCTAGCAAGCGCCAGCCAGGAAGACATTCCCCAGTTAATGGTCTTCCCATTTTGTTCTTAAAGATACTGCTAATCAGCATTTAATTTTGTGCTTTCTTTTCCTAGAGTTTCTTTTTCAACTTAAGACAGCCGTTTCATACTTTCCAGTAATCCAGTATAGCTACTCATGTGGTGTAGGTAGTTAAGTCACTGGTAATATAATGACATTCTTCACAGTTTCCAAGATGTTTTTAGTCTTAAAAAAATAAGAATTTGAACTGTGCTTAGAAATAATTGTGCTTCAGAGAACAAAGTTATTTGTCGTAATTAAGAAATAATGTCTGAATAGATCTGAATAGATCTGAAGAGCAGGCCAAAGTTTTTAAGAGCTTCCATCTCTCTCACAGACAGAGCCTCTGGGAAAAACAAGAGGCTGCTCTCAAACAAAAGATTTGAAATTTAAGCTTTGAATATTTGTAACATTTTTTTAAATAGGGGAAGAGTTTAAAAGGCTATAAATATGATGAAGTTTTTGAAAAGAATGGTTAATGGATTGTCTTTATGTTTCAGAAAACACCTTCACTAGTATGAAGGTAGCCATCTAATTAAATACAGTCCTTTCAGCATAGATCTCCACATCTGAGCTACCTGCACTAAGCTTTCCTTATGGTCCTCGGAGATCTCACTGGCAGCATCCAGGGGATGGTCCATCTCCTCCTGTAGGCTAAGATAGGTTGGAGGAATTGCTCCCAGCACTCTCCAGTTGGCTTTCTTTTCAGTAAAGAGAATCCCAGGAGATGAGGTCTGTTTCGCATCTGTTTTTCGGACACCTGAAATCCAGTCAGGTGAATCTCACTTCTTCGTGTCCTTGTTTCACATCACAGAGGAGAAAGGAAAGGGAGGACACAGCATTGTCATGAAAATGACAGTAGTTAGTGCATGGTTAGTGCTAGTACTGCTCAAGGCAGAGGTTAGGTGAAGTTCTGTGCCTTTCCACTCTTACTGTGCTCACTTTATTTCCAGATTCTGATGAAGATACAGTCTGTTGTAGCTAGATTCGAGGTATATTAGCAGGTTGTAATGTTTAGTGATGCTCAGCATATGGTTAAATTTTGCAAAGTAAAATACAAGTGATACAAGACTTGCAATACCTAGTTTGCAGTGCATCAGTACTCTCAGCACTCTGGCTTGTGGCTGTGAAAGCTTAAAGTGCATTAATTGTCTCATTGATTTTAATTGTTTTAGATGTGGAATAACAGCAAATCAGTGATCAAGTTCACATGGGAGAAAAGCATCCTCTGTGAGATTATGGAAGTCGAACCTCATACTGGCATCATAGGTAAAGTTTCTGTGACTTGAAAGCACCAGTTAATGACAGAAATATTTAAATTTGTATGAGTGGAAAAGAAAAGTCACAGAGCACTACAATGCAAGCTGCAAAACAAGACCTGATCCCCACCCCACTGGGGATCCAGCAGGAGACTTAATTTGTTGCAGGAGTTACAGTAACAGGCTTGCTGCAGGTGATTTCTTTGCAAAATGGTGAGACAGGACCCTGAATTTTTCTTTTCTAGATATGAATCAGTGCTGTAAGTTTGAACTGGCAATTACTGGAACCAAACCTGGCCGTGTTAGCCATAACCTGCAGTGTAAAATTGAACACTGTCCAGAGCCGGTTGTGCTGCACGTTGAGGCTGCTTTTAAGGTAAGTTCAGTGTTGAGGCGTGAGTGGCTGTGGGGCATGGCCATTGTCCATGTAAAGCTTTTAGCCTCCTGAAGGCATGACAAATCTAAAGCAGTTACAAACAGGAGGTATTTTTGCTGTCTAGTAACTATTGAGACGATGTTGGTACTCCCATGACAGTAAGTATTTTTCTGCATTACAGGCAATGCATTTGCTTTCTGCTATTCTCTGTGAAACTGAATGTTCATCTTAGATAATACGTGCTTCTTAATTAGGCAATTTTGGCAGAAGTGTCCATTCTGACATCTCTTTCCTGGTGTCCTAGGGTCCACTTCTTTCTATTGACGTTCCATCACTGCAGTTAGGTTTGATTAAGCAGGGTGAGACTGTGGTAAGAACCTTTGAGATTAAAAATCTGTGTCAGCTGCCAGCACAATGGAGAATGCAAGAAAGCCAGGTCTGTCTGGCTGAAAGGAATGAAGAGGTAAGTCACTGCTATAGCTGGCTATGCTCCCTCTTCAGCTGTTTCTTCCTTATGCTTAGGAGTTGTAATACTCATTCCTGATACCAAAAGTTCTAACAATTCCCTGAACCCCAGAGAGATTTTAGACTTAATCTCTTGAATTTGTTGTCCCAGCACGCATTCATATCCCAATGAAGATCAGAGATCAAGTCCTCCATTCCTCCTGCGTAAGAGCTACCCCTTTCCTTTCCTAAACCTCTCCAGCCCCCACCCCACATGGGTGCTCTTTCTGTTTCCACTCCTCCAACCCTCCATCCCTGACCTTCTGTGCAAGCATCTCTCCAGCTTGTGGCACCTTGCAGAGCTGCTGCTAGCCCCTTGTCTTGGGAGGAGACACTGCTGCTGCTGACACGCTCCCCCTCACTCCATGCACAGGCATCTCTGTTATGCCCCTGGCTCTGACTCCCCTTTTCATTGCCTTTTTATTAGCTATTCCTATAGAAGCAAAGTCCTGTCTCCTTGTCTAGCCAGGTTTTCACAAAGCTAACGCTGCGCTTACTGAAATCAGCCCAGGTGGGACTCCAGAGGCAGAGGGAAAGGACATGTCTGAGAAAAACTAGACACATGCATGTCACAATCAGCATGTGTGGCTTCAGCATTTTACACCTGCTTTGCAGGCTTCAAGTAAATTTCTGTTTCTCCTTTCATAGGTATCTCCCTTTACCATTCAACCGTCTGCTGGAGAAATACCTCCTTTGGGTATATGCAGTGTGTCAGTTCAGTTCACATCACTGCTGTGCCAGCGTCTCCAGACAATATTAGAACTAGAGGTAGAAAATGGAGAAGGAAGGTAAGGAGGCGAAGTGGCATTCTGCTTTGTTTTTTCCCTGAGATTCACATGTGATTTTCACTTTAGGTAGTTTTATCTCCTAAAATAAAAATACGTGGCAGGAACTCGGAGTGGGGTTGTGTAACCTATCAATGGACTATCCAATCACTAATATTGCTAAATAAACATAATCATCATTCTTTCCAGCATGCTGTTGTATGTCTAGCACATTTCATTAACAGTAACAATAGACCATCTGTGTGTTTATTTCCAGTCATCTTCCTGTTTTTGTTGAAGTTCAGACCCCCCAAGCGTGCCTGATATCTAGTCATCTGGTATTCACTGAGATTTATACCGGGGTTCCTGCCAAAGCAACCAGCAAACTTTTTAACCAGACACTGCTGCCAGCAAAATACTTATGGGGAAAGGTAAATGTGCTTTTAATGGATGAAGAGTACAGCAGGGATGGAAATTGTAATTTCTATACAAATACAAACTACTCGTAAAAGCTTTTCTGATGTATCCTTTGAGCACTGATTCCTGTTTACTAGCTTATGAGCAAGACTTCAACTTGAGACCAGCCTTGAAAAGATTAACTGTGAGTTGGTACTAATATGCTCTTACTGTCTGGGACTCACTCCTGGGAGTACAGGTGGGCTCAGATGTGAGGGGAAATAGGACGTAAGCTACCAGAGTATTAAACAAACGGCCATGACAGTTTAGCATTTGCATTTAATTCAGCAGAGCAAAGAAACAGTGGTGCTTTTGAATTGTGCCAAAATTTTGCTTGAATTTTACATTGTGGATGGGATTCAGCTCACTAATTAGGACCCCTAAATTTGATGTCAGCATGTACGCTATGGTCTGAACTCCCTTTTCAGTCAACTGAAATCTGAGCAGGAAGTCAGTCACCAGAATATACACATCTAATGTTGTTTTGGGTGCTATAGGGTGTTCTTCCTCACCTCCAGGCATCACTCAAGAAGTGTGGTCTCTTGTAAGTCCTGCCACACCAGCCAGCCACGCTTCTATGGTTTGGCTACCCTATGTGCCTGTGTCTGGGCAACTGAATCCTACCCCTTGTGTACAGCCAATGGAGTCCAGAGACTCCATTCAGCTCCCCCTAAAACAGACACCTACTTTAGTCTGCAGAATGTTCTCTAGCACATACTACCTGGACGTCTGTTCGCTACAATGGTAGTGTTGATGCTCATTATGTGTACAATTAGGTTAATTAGCCTGTAAGCTGAATCCTACTGTCAGTGCCTTGGTCATTCAGATCTACTCAGACATCCAGGGTTCAGCTTGGTTGCCTACATAAAATGTTTCAGTGCCATCCGAGATGTCCTTAGGTGCCCAAGACATCCTAACTGAGTGTGTGGATGATATAGGACCTATGGGAAAACATTTTGGAACACCTGGAGCCTAGGAGGGATATCCACAGCATTTTACATGGTACCTGATGTTTGTGTGTGAGCAAACGAGTTGAACCCCATACATGCCATGTGCGTTTAGTCAATTAGGGAAGGTGCCAACACCAGGATTGTCTCTGTAGGTCACCTCTGTAGTCAATAGAGAGAGATGTGGCACCTGTAGGATCCTGCTCCAATATCAGACAGGTTGACTTCAGCCTGGGAAGGCTTGTGACTGTGAAAGGGATGACAGTGACTCTGCTCCCAGCCCAGATGCCTCAATTGGGGACCTGAAGTCATTTGGAATAAATGTAACATAAGGATCTTATCAACCATGGAGGAATTGTAAAACAAGCTTCATCTCAACAAACTGTACATGTCGCTACCTGAAAAGTGTCCTAAACCTTAGAATAACTCTGTTTCTATAGTTCTCTTTGCTCTGTAGAGAAAATCTGAAAGAATTGGAGTTAATGAATTAAGAGAGTTACCTGAATGTCTGTCCTTTCTGTTCAGCAGCTCATTGGAAGTCAGGCAGCTTTCTGCTCTGCTGCTGTCTCCCCAGCCAGTGGCACCCTAGGCCCACATGAAGAGAAAGAATTCTGCATAGAGCTGTCAGCTAACATTGTGGTAAGTTTAAAAATGGGTGCAATTTTTATTAAAACAGCAACGCTGGTGTTCTCATCTTGCCTCCATCTGGCAAAAGGAAGGATTTTTATATGCAAAATATAATACTCTATTTTTTCTGTGTAATATCTCTGAAATCACTTTGCCTTAGAGGTAACCATGGTTGAAGGCAAGACCTGAATCAGTCCACATGGCGTGCAGTTTTCTACCCTGCCTCTTTGTTTCCCAGCTGTTCTTGTTTTCTTTCTTGATTGCCTGTTCAATTACTCTTAATGCTTATCATGTTTCTTAGAACACACAGATCCTCACTTTGGATTATCCCAAATGAATTGTAGCAGAATGGCATATATAGTACACATTTGGTTTTCTGAATGCAACTGGGCTCAAGACATTTTGATATTGGAAAACTTCGAAGGGGCTGATGGCACTGAGAGCCTGCAAAATAGGATGTAGACTGTGGAGTGTACAAACTTCAGGAATTCAGCCATGGACTTTATAGGTGCATTCAAACAGCTGATTTAATGCAACTGAATAAAGGAACTTCCCATAGGTGGGATGCATTAGGTCCAATTACAGTCACTGGAGACATAAGTTTCAGTCATTCACTTAAAAGTAGGCATTCAGTACTATAAGAGATGCCCTGACAGATCTCAGATACCCATGTATGCCTGGTGTATGTGGCACAGGATTCCAGTAAACCTGAGCCTTCTTCATGGAAAGCTGTGAGCTCAGCAGGACACACAGGGCATCCAAAGGGGCACTTTTGGATTTGGCTGGGGAACTGACCGAAACATCGTCCACATTGTAGGGGAGCTAGATGCCTAAGTGTTATTAATGAATCAGTGGATATTTACAGCTCATATTTGGAGTTCACCTCATAGATGAACTCGAGGATGCACATTTAGGGAGTTACATTTAGAAGTCTGAATCTGGAGCTGAACCCCAATTTCTACAATTTTATGCAGGTTGCACCAGTTCGTGTATTGATAAGACAAAAAAGAATAGCATTGACTTAGCCAGAGTACTGGTGTAACTGGGCCACATCATTCATCCTACACGTCCAGCTTTAAACCCAGGTAGAAATAAAACCTTGGTTTTGGAAGATTATTTAAGCATGATTAGAAGTGATTAATGCTTCAAGACTTGCAGTATAAGAAGCATGTCAAAAATCACTAATGGAGCAGTTTTAGGCCTATGGACTGATGCAAGTAAAAAGCCAAGAAACAGCCACACATTTTTACCTTGGTACTGCCTTCTAAGCAAATCTGATGCTGCCAGAAAATGCACTTAAAACAAGTCAGTAAAACTTTTCACTATTCTATTTTAATTCTGGTTTTTAGTCCAGTGAAGTTCAGACATATTTTCTGAATAAATTTCTTAATGAGGCTGCCTTTCCTCTGTGATGTTTGCTTCATTCACAAGAAAACTTGACTCCTTTCAGGGTGAGCTGAAAGACCTTGCCCTTTCCTGTAGCATAGAAGACATGATCAAACCTCTCTTTCTGAGCATTTGTGGAGAAGTGAAAGGACTGCATGTCACCTACTCGATACCTTGTGACAGTGAAGTTGCCAGGTAAATTAAGAGTTTACCCCTGAACTGAACAGAAATTACTTCTTCCCAAAACAAAAATACAATAGAGAGGGGAAAAAAATCCCACTTACCTATGTAAGCTTAATTCCTCCTCCTGCTGTAGGCAGCAAGGACAGTAAAATGTGCTGGGACAAATCGCTGAAGGTGCCTATGTGAAGAAAAGGTAAAGGGGTTACACCATAGCCAAATTCAGCATCTTCATAAGCACAAGAGAAGACTGGAGAAGGGCATTACTCCACTCCCACCATTGTTTAGCTGAAACAAATGTACACCTGTGAATTCGTTAATTCATGAGTAATAAATTGGTGTCAAGTTTAACAGCACATTAATGAAACTCATGTGTTGTGTCTGTTCTCCCTTGTGCTCCTGGCACTTGTAACCTGCCAGTTGTCTGACACTTGTGTGTATAGAGAGCATGAAGAATTACTTTTCTCCCTGGTAATCAAAGCATGGGACCTCTGCAGTCCCTCACACGTCTGTGAGTAACAAGTGTTTTCTGGAATGCCAAAAATTTGCAAATTCAATTCTTAGACATGAAGAATTGTACCCCAGATCCTGTATTTTAGACCATTAAGTTCTGTTGTTGCACTGTGAGACATGATACTAAAGAAAGATGAATATACTTCTCTTTGACTTGGTATATCTGGCTGATCTTTATTTTATTTTTCTGCTATGTAGCATGATTACTTTCTTTTGGAATATGTTCATCTTTATACATTTTTACATAAGTAAAAATGGCTTTAATTTGGTAGGTTGCCATGTTACACATGTCAAACATTTTACCCCAAATAAATCCTTACTTGGACAGAAGTGAAAAAAATGAAAAGTGGTAAATGCTGATGACAAAAACCAGAGGTTGCATGGTCCTTTTACACCACACTGCATATTGCACGATTCAAAATCTACTTAAATTCTCTGTGGCATAAAAAAGAAGACTGATGTTTCAATACTAATGTATTTTTTTTTCTGACAGCGATGAAAGACAAACGCTACAAAGCCCATGTGATCTTCTCTTGGACTTTGGATCTGAAGTTGCATTCAAAGCCATCGTAAAGCGTCAGCTGATTCTTACCAACCACACTGGAATCTGTGCTCCGTTCAAACTAGAAGCTGAGTATTTTACTGACTGTTCACTTACTCCAGAGCAAGGAATCTGCCCGTAAGTCTTGCTTTTCTGCATAAAGGCTCAAGTACGAATTTAGGGCTGGATTAAATCTGAAATCAGGACAGTGTGCTATTGCCTCTGTCATGAGATACACTTTCGGCAGTGCTTGGTGGGGTTTTCTTAAGCTCTTACTCTGACTGTGGTAATGAAACCTGCTGGTGAGGTTTCCAGCAGAAACAGACAGCTTGCAATGCAGGGTCAGAAGATTTAGATGGCAAAACACTCTTGTTGCCAATGGACTTAAGCAGGTTTACACCAGCTAAGGCTCTGCTGGGTGAGATTGTAGACAGAAGTTTACAACTCCCAAGTTGATTCACTCTTAAGGATGTTACTTTCAAAAAATGCTTTGTAGGCAGTCCTTCTTTAATTTACAGTGGCCACTAATCCAGAAGTCAGGTAGAGCTGTTACTTTAGCAGAGTCCTTCTCATTTCACAGAACTGTCATTGTGATTTTTTTTTTATTTTCTCAAGCTCCCCCAGCTGCCTGGTGACAAGAAGAGGGCCCACCGCAAAACGCGCAGCCAGAAGAGCAGAGTCAGGTATGAGAACAGCTTTTAATCCCCTCAGTGGAGAGAAGGGAAAGGCCAGCATCAAATGTGCCAGACAGGCACATCATTTCACTCTTGGAGTATCTGGCTAAGTCTACACTGTTAAATGACTTAGTCCCTCAGTTTGTTCTTGAGTTTGAAAGCCCACATTGGATAAGCATTAGGTCAATCTCTCTTTTCCCCCCAGCCTTGCTTCTTTTTTCTCTTTCCCACCCCCTACTTTCTCTCTTCCTCTCCCTTTCCTTCTCTCTCTCTTTCCTTCTCTCTCTCTTGCCTCTTCTTTTTCTTGAAAACAAGCGTCTGAAACCAAGATGGGTGATTCTGGTGACAGTTCACTCCCAGGATCTCTCCCAGCACACAGTATGTATGACATGCATAATGTTTGGCTATTTCCCTCCTACAAAGCCTTCCAATACCATTGCAGCAGCCTTTTCTCCCTCAAACTCTTTTATATACCCTCCCCACTGTGGAAAGCTACAGCACAGCCCATCTATCATTTCTGATTCGTTGTACTGAAAAATAACAATATTTGGAGACCCATGAGACCCAGGGAGGGGGGAAATGGGAGTGAAATGCTACAAAGTGTCAATATGTCTTCTGTATCCAAAATAAAACTTGGACATATTGGTACCTTGCCATAGTGTTTGGTATCTGTTACAAAGACAGAGCTTTTCAGCTGTTGAATGAGTATGTAAGATTGGAAAAATGCTGTTCTGACAGATTCCATGCGAGCTTATTGATTTAGAAGGCAAAGTGACTCAGAAAATGGAAAGGCTTTGCTCTTTGTAATTCATTCTTTGCGTTGAAGAGCACACGGAGGTAAACAGGCAGCTGCTAATAGAACAATAACACAAATTCCAGCTTATTTTTCTCAAATTGAGGGTGTGTTTTCATGTAACTGATTAGTGCCTTGCATATCCCAAAGAGTCCTGGATCAGGTTGTTGGAAGGGAGTCCTATGAAATAATCTCTGCAAGAACTGACTCTCAAAAACCCAGATTAAGACCTACTGCTGAAGGGAACTTGGGTAAAGTGGTATAAATGAGGGTTGTGCAAATGATCGCAGGATTTTTTGAAGCCAGTGAGGTTAGGCTGATAAACACCAGCTAAAAATCCGGTCCTTTACATTCTTTGAAAGACTGACTTTGTTCCATGCCCTCCAAATTCATCAAATGCTCCTTTGCTCTGCTCCGTCAGCGTTTGCAGCAGCAGTGCTGTCTCATGGGAAGGGAGTCGCTTTCCATCTACAACCTTCCACAGGAACCCTGCAAGCCTTCCAGCAGCTGATGATAGAAATAACAGCTTACAACAACATGTGGGGGGAGTACCGGGATGATCTTGTCTGCAAGGTCAGTGGGGCTTTGGTTTTAAGTGAAGCTTTGCTATGGCAGATTTTACACCAATTACATTTCCCAGATTTCTTTGTGTTAAAAAGACTTCTGCAGTTTGTTAGGACTCCTGCAAAAATTCAGGGTAGATGTTGCTATACCGTTACCTCCAACGACATGCAAGGAACGACTGTTTGCTGTTACAGAACATGGTTTAGTTTTGGGGTAACATGTTTATCCCTTGGGAGGTTTTCATGTGCCTTTAAAATGACTGGAGCAGTTTTGATTTATAAAATCTGTTTGGTAGCTGGCCAGTGCACTGCTCTGCTCTACCGAAACAATTTACTGTGTTGTATGGAAAAGCTTCAGGAACGCTGATGAATGTATGAGGTATTGCATTCTCCTGCTGAGAGGAGCTTTCGTTAGGATGTGAATGAGATGCTGTCAAAAGAAACCAGACAAAAATATTTGAAAATCCAATGTTTTCAAAACACAACTTTGTGACCCAGAAAGCTAAAATTTCATCTTGATTCTAATAGCCAAAATTCATTTTTAATAGGTGGGAGACTTACAACCTACATTAATTCCTATGCAAATGACTGTGAAAGGCTGTCCCATCTTCCTGCAGATGACAGGACCACAAACAGAGCAACCCATAATCAGGTACAGCACAAAATACTGTCAGAGAATTAAATACCATTGGACTACAGCCAACACACACACACCTGTTCCCATCTTTTTGTGGTGTAATGAGAAGGTCAGCAAAGTGACTGTCAAGGACAGTATCTGTAACACTGATACATTTGTCTCTGCTGCTGGCATAATTAGGAAACAATCTACATAAAAACCTGCTCAGACTTACCAGCAATCACGGTTCTAGGCTTGCAGTCATAAAAGTTCACCCATTCCAGCCTCTGTGGAGATGCTTATCATCATCTGCAGCTCAGTTCTCCTGGTCCATTCACCTGGACCAGGAGAAATGCAGCCCCAAGGTTTATAAGGGCAGGGGAAAGTTTAAGCCCTCTCATGTGGTGAGTCCCATCTGGGTGAGGGATAACGGTTGGTTTATGGGGACCAGTCACTGCACACTCAGCTGCTCTACGGCACGGCTGCTTCTTCCTGATTCAGAGGAATTAGCGGTGTGTGTCATACCGTGCCAAGAGCATCTGCGGTGTCAGCTCTGTAAGGGGGCATAGAAAATGGATTTAGCTCTCCACCATAAAACACCCTTCTGCACCTGGAAATCTGTGGCTGACACGGGTCACTTCACTGCTGCGTAGCCGTTTGCTGCAGCTGCCAGAGTCTTTCACAAAAGCTGACTTCACATGTTTACCCTGGAACGTCTGAGACTACGAAGAAAGCTGGAAAAGAGAGACTGATTAAATAAAGCAATATTGAACCTCACGGCATAGGCCATGCTTTACCTGATAGCCACTCTTAGGTTGCCAGTGCAGTCAGGTATGTTTCCACTTTTAAACAATTCTTTACTGGAAAATCATTTCAGACATTCATTGTTATTGTCTGCATGGACTGACAGCACGGTTTTCCCCCTCAGGTTTGGCACTCAGGTCTCTGGAGGCTTTCCTGTCATTCGAAGGCTCCAGCTCAACAATCCCACCCCCTGTGGTAAGGCTGACTTTTGTACAGCAAACATGGACACTTGCATTGTGCTTCTTATGACAATAAAGATAGAAGAACTCATTAGCTTGTTAATTAACAGGCCTGCTTGTTTCCTAATCAAGGCTTTTTTGTAAAAATAGTATGTAACAGTAAAGCAGGTAAGCTTTACCCAGAGTGTAGTAGAACCGATGTGATTGACTCGATGTGGTGTTACTATGAAACTGCACAACCTGTCCTGATGTGTCTGGGTTTTCGCTCATTGAAATGATGGGAATTCAGGATTTTCCATCCTGTTCTGGTGTCTCCCACAGCACTAAAGCCGGTCAGTCAGATGGACTACCTGGTTCTTCGTGGCATCATCTGGCTCTTCTCTGTTTAGACTTTTTATCTCTTGAGTGAGATTTTAAGCTCTTCAGAGCAAAGGTTAATCACTTCTTTAACAAACAAAATATTCATAATTTCGGTTAATGTTAGTAACAGTGTAGTTTAGGACCTAGAGAGTGGCCAAGATCGAAGAAGAGCATAGCACACATTTTGGTTTACAGCAAACATGGAAAGCTTAAGATGTGCTTTAATACAAGTCCAGTTGGTAGACACAAATCAGTCACTTGATATTCTGGTTCTGTGGTACCAGCTAAGCCGTGAGTCTTCTCAGTGACCAGAAGTAATCATCCTTTCTCTTTTCCAATGCAGACATCCGCCTGGACTGGCAAATTTACAACCAGGAGCAAGATGACAAGCTGGTGGACCTGTTGATGTTCTGTGGAGACCCTTTTCCTCCTAAGGACACGGATGAAAATGGGACTGCATCGATTGGTAGCACCTCGGAGTCAGAGATCGCGTTAAAGTTGGATGAAGCCGCTGTTCCCTGCGGAAGCATTTATCCAGCTTCGCAAACCACAGATGAGGTCAGTTGTTAGTCTGTTTTTTTACACTGCTGCTGAGATACATGATGGGTTTCTTGGCGTGAAAGGCTGAAAACAATAACACGCAATAGAACTTGTAACTAAGAGCTGGATTGTGAAAAGAAATGTCAGCTCCTCTCGCTGTCAAAAAGGAGTATGTGAGCAGATGGCGACTGGTATCAGCAACCAGCTTCCAGAATGAGCTGTGAGCAAACAGCTCCTTTTCTTAAAATCGTTACAGGGGCTGAGGAGATACTTTTTAAAAGACTGTCTTTGACAAACTAATGCTGTTTTTACATGAAAGTGTTCAGAGAAGTGAAACTGCTCAATTTGGATCGACTTTTCTGATGGGTGCTTTACGTGTGCTGTATCAGGGAGCAGGATCTACCCTGCAAAGTTCAAACTGCAGCTGGTATTTCGGAGGTATTTATCCCAGTGCCAAACTTAGATTGGTTACTCTGTTAGAATATGGTAGCAACTATCACACATGAAATTTGATTATAATATAGCAGTTTACTGCCTTGAAAGGCTGAGAGTGACAGAGAGAAGGTGTCATACAGAATATGTGTATTTCTCCAGCAAAAGCTTTTGCAGAAAACATTAAAATCACCTTTTTTCTGTTTCAGCTCAGGAGGCATAGTTGTTTTGAATACACCCCTAAACTTTCTTGTGCAACAAGGGAAAGTTATTGCCTTAGAG